GATTACAGGCATGTGCCACCATGCCCAGCTAATGTTTTGTATTTTTAGTAGAGACGGGGTTTCACCATGTTGACCAGGATGGTCTCGATCTGTTGACCTCGTGATCCACCCGCCTCGGCCTCCCAAAGTGCGGGGATTACAGGCTTGAGCCACCGCGCCCGGCCCATGTCACCGAATTTTCAAGTGTTTCTATTATGTCTAAGACCATTTTTCAGGAATAGGGATGTAATCTCAGCTTCCAAAAATTCTCTTTCTGAAAGAGCGGAGCATTTACTTGTCCCTGAAGCACTCGCGCCCTCGGTCGACCCCAGTATGAGCAGAGCTCCTGCACTGTCCTCAGTGCAGTTCAGAGAAGCAGAAGTGGAGTGTCAGGGAGCCCAGGCTGCCTGCTGACCCTAAACGGAGTGAGCGTCCTTGTGAAGAGGACATCGCCGTCTCCACCTGCGGGACCCACCCATCACACTGCACGTTATTGCTCACCAAAGGCGTGGCCCTGCATTACTCTGTTACTTTGTTTCTGAAGTGCTTTCAGTGAGCCAGATGGAACAAAGCAAGCTGAAGTTCCTCCTTAGCTTAGCAGCAGTTCTTGAAGATCGTGCAGCTTGATAGAGGAGCTAGCCAGGTCTCTTGGCATCCGTGAAGGTCTCCTTTATGAAGGCACTCACACACCAGGGGCTGAGAAAACACAGCTTTTGCCTTCTATGATACAGCATGGGGCTTTCTCTCCATGGCTGAGAAAGTGACGTATTTCATAACCACGCATTGCAGATGAAACATTTTTGAGGAGGACTATGGAGAGAGGAGGGCCTCCAGTTCATGAAAAACAAAAAAACCCTCTACTCCCACCTGATAGGCGTCTTTGGAACTTTTTAAGAATCTGTTTCTTCCCTCCTACTGGCAATCTTCAGTTAACGTAACAAAGAAAACACGGCAGATCTCCAGCTATGGCCTCCGTCATACAAAGGTCTACAGATGAATGCAAAAGGCAGTTATGGCAGGAAAGGCCAGGCACTGAAATTCCTCCAAGAAAAGTGTAATTATGTGCAAATGCGTGAAGATATACTGAATCCAGCAAAAACAGTTTTGATCCAGAAGTGGAATCCAAGCTTTGAAATTCTTCAGCAAAGCATTCTATTCCATCGCTGTGGGAAATGATTAGGGTATTTGTGCGTGGGATTTGGAGCCCACTGGGGTGCTGTTTCCCTGAAACTGGCCGAGCAGTGTGTCTTTATCTCTGCTTCTGGAGAGAGCCACAGAAAACAGCGCTCACAGAGGCATCACTGGCTGCACAGTCTCCAGATGGTCAATCGTGAAGTCAAGCCCTTGTCATGGCCGGGGCTGTTCCCATCAAACTCAATTTAGGAACACTTTCACAGCAGAGGATGGAGTAGCTCAGAAAACTTCAAGTTAAACGATAAGATACTAGGCTTTTTCTCCTAGCGCACATGCTCTCACCTCCATTTGTAAGGTAAAGAGACAGCAAAGACCTTCCAAAACCTGAGCACCTGGGCATGGCCTAAAATTGAATTGCAAGCTTGATGACGGTTATGAAGTCCATGAGAAGTGCATCGTGAGGCAGATCTGGTGTGACCAAGTTACACACTGGGCAGGTACAAAATATAGCCACCTTTTTCCATCCCCTTCCCCAAAACCTTGAAGAAGGAGGCTGTTCATTGGCGTGAGCCTGCTGAGCATGGCGCTTTGTCCTTCCAAAGTGTGAACTGTCATGGATGTTAGAGAAAGGGGAATTTAATGTTTATAAATACGAACTCATGGAGTTTAAAAAAAAAAGTATACCTCCGTGGTCTCCATACTAGCAGGAATGAATTTTAGCTTGTTAGAGCGTCAACTCTATGCATTTTTATGGTGATGTGAAAATTAGATCAAAAGAACTTTATTCTTTATTCACTTGTTCTATTCACAACAGAATAGCTTTAGGGCCAGCAAAGAATTGACCTGTGAGATGAAATCAATGAAAATGACAGACTTTTAAGAACAGGATGGAGCAGGCGGGACTTGATTCTGACCTCAGCATCTCTCCAGGGCTGGTGGCTCGCAGCTCTGATCTCAGCCCTTTCATGGGAGAGAAAGCGCTTTAAGCAGAGCTAGGGCCCCACAGCCAGGCACTTCAGGGACATACGGAGAATCACGTGTTCTTCTCCCAAGTGCCCAGGGTGCTTACTTTTTGGGAGCCATAGCTAGCTTTCAGTTTGGTAAGTTCCCTTGAAGCCAAATTTGCAGTCAACTGCTCAGTAATTAAAAACTGATTGCTGTTTGCACATGTGAAAGCAGCTGTAGAAACCGGAGGTGGGATCCGTGCTCCTCAGCTGTGGTGCTGTCTCCTGGGCCTGTGGACTCCCTGCCCCTAGACACCGTCCTCAGTTTGTCTAGACCTGCTGGGGCAGTTTCTAGTTTCGTTCTGCTCATAGTGCCTAAGCTTTGGGAGCCTGGATCACTTCACTCAACAAACAAAAAATGTTCTTGTGTCTTCTCTGAGGCTCAGCCCACTCTTCTCGAGGGTTTATTGTGTGACACTGGGTCCCACACAATGTGCTGTGAGCGAGCATCACTGAAGGGTTCAGGACCCCAGAGATGACACAGGCTCCACCACATCTGCCGCCCACTCTCTGATCCTGACATATTCCCCGCAGCACAAACGCACCTAGCCCAGCTAAGGATGCAGTGGGGTTTGAGCACAGCAACCTAGTAAAGTTTTTCAGCGTCCCCTCCTCGCCCCAGCGCCCAGTGCAGGTGACTCTAGCAATACGAGAACTCAGCTTTGTGTGTTTAAACCAAACTTCTGAAATCCCCCGTGAGTGGATTAGACTCCGCCAGTCCATGCACAGTGGCTAACTGGTCGTTAACATGGCTAACATATTGACTTAAACCAACTCCTTAGAATCGCAGAATAATATAGACTTTGAACCTCAGGTTAGGTGTTTGGGTAAGTAGCTCCAAGCAGAGTATCCTCAGATGTTCCAGAGCTAAGGTGTAACGCGGCCAGACGATCCCCCAGGCAGTGTGGGAGCTGTGTTCTCAGGTCCCCCTCTCAGGAGACGAGCCTCCACGTGACTCCCTGGTTTCTATAGCTTGAGAAGAATTTGTAAGAAATAATACATTTTAACGCTTCCTCTTGTTTCTCTTTTTAAAAGCTTTTCACAGATGCCAACCAGTTCAGTGAAAGATGAAACCAATGACAACATCACGATATTCACCAGGATCTTGGACGGGCTCCTGGATGGTTACGACAACAGACTTCGGCCCGGCCTCGGGGGTGAGTGTGCCCTCCTCGGCCCGGCCTGGGGGGTGAGTGTGCCCTCCTCGGCCCGGCCTGGGGGGTGAGTGTGCCCTCCTCGGCCCGGCCT